GATAAATATATTTTATCTATAAAAATATAGAGTAAAAAAGATAGGGAGAAACTTAAGAAACTTTTAAGAACGTTATCGGAGAAAGTGGTCAAACGTAAACATCCTGAAGATAGTGATTGGAGTTCCGTTTGTTCACTATTATTTCTCTGGGGTCTGGCAAATTCTAGGTCTTCAAATATTGTTATATGGATAAAGGTGCACGTGCGCACACGTTCTTCATTAATCATCCACTCTATACTCAAGTAGAATAACAATGCAAAGATATGCATCAGGCTTGTGAAAGTTGTCATTAAGCCCTATCCCACATCCTAAAGTACATTCAGGGTTCTCAAATTGATTTAATCATTTTCCATCATAATTGCTACCAACCTGCATGAAATTAGTATCATATTGTCCTTGAAAACTTTTATAATCTCCTGAAAAGTCTTCTGCATTCATTTGTTCTATACTTTGCCTCAACTCATTTTCCTCATTGCAGCCACAATGATCTTTTAAAACACAAACCTGACCATGTCACTTCTGTGCACAAAAACAACATTGTCTTCCTTTTGTTTTTAAGATAAGGCTGAGAATCCTTAGTGTGCCCTACCCATCCCTGCATGCTACTATCCCAGCCTTACTCATCTACTTTTCACTTCACTCTCTGTACTCCAGCTCAAAAAATGGACTTCCTTCAGTCCTTGGAATGTTTGACAACCTTTGTATTTTAAGATCCACATGTGTTCACACATCCTGTTCTCTCCCTGTAGCATCACCACCCCATTTCATGATCACTTTTTCTCTTCTCAGCTAATTAACTCCCATACAGCACTCAAATAAATGTCTTTTTTTTTTTAAAGATTTTTTTTTTATTGAGAAATTGGGGGGATGGGAACAGAGCAGGGGAATTGGGGGAAGGGTAACAGACAAGTTGCTGTTGTTTTTTTCTTCAGTCTAGTTGTGGAGGACGTTGCTTCACTGGCCCAAGTTGGCACCATCATTGCGCTCTTCCCGGGCGAGGCAGAT